TCCTGGGCGACAGAGTGGGACTCCAACTCAAAAAATAAAATAAGAGGGGGAAAAAAAAAAAGTGCGTGCCAAGAGTGTGAAAGGGCTTAAAACACTTTGAACAAGCCCTCCAGGAACGTCAGCCCTGCTCCGGCCACACGTGGCGAAGTCGGCGGCGCGCGGGGTCCGTGTGCGCATGCGCGCTTTCGGTGCCCGCCGTCGCCGAGGGCGCTCCTCAACTCCGCCCCCACGTCCCTCTCCCACCCTACGTCTCCGGAGTTCCGGCTTCTGGGGGTGCGAGCCTGGCGGAGCCGAGCGCGAGGGCTCAGGCGCCGACGCGCTGCCGGCGAGAGGGCTGGCCCGCGGGTCTGGGCCACCCGGCCGGAACTGACCGCTGTTTCCGGGCGGCGAGAGGGTTTCGGACTGAGCGTTAAGTCTCCGTGGGGTCGGTCGGGGTCGGTGGCCGACGCTCTGCCCGCCGCCCCGCGCTCGCCACCTGGTAGGAGACACCTGGTTCGAGAGCCCCGAGCCCCGGGTGGACTGACCTGGGCCGCAGTCGAGAGCGAAGGCGCCGTCTGTGCGATTCTGTCCGGCGGCCCGGGGCGGCCTTCGCTGCCGTTGGGAGCGCCAGGCGGCGGACGCGTAACCCTGGAGACGGAACGCGCGGAGCCTGAGGGGTGGGGCCAGGGTGTTGTGGGCGGGGCCGGGGGCGGAGCCTTACCTTGAGAGTCTTTCCCCAAAAGACGCGGCGGGATGTCGACTTGCCGACGTGGGAACATATGAGACGCGTGAAAGGCGGTCCCTGCAGACGCCTTGCCTCGGTTGACCCTTTCAACGAGTTTAAAAGGGGAGGGGGGAGAGGGTTAAAGAGGAGGGGGAAAAGGAAGGCTGGATCGTGAGCAAATGGAGTTGTTATAGAAGTGTTTCGTTAAAAAAAAAACAACCACCCAAAGTATAAAGTGTCGCAGTTGTATTTCATGCCCTGTTGTCCAAAGGAGGTCCGTATCAGCATGCCTCAAGATGCCAGAAGAGAAAACCGCCCATTCAAGAAGCGCATAATGACACACTGGGGTCTGGAGTTAGGGACAATAATGTTCGCTAGGCCCCACTTCAGCGTGAAAGTGTGACATTAGCCACACAGCATTAAGCAGCCAGGTTTTATTTTTAAACAGTTTTCTCAAACTGCAAACAAATATGCACAATATACTTGACTGTTATAGGCTGAAAAGAGGTCATTTTGGTTGCATTGGAATAGTCATTTACAAAGGCCTTAAAAACTTGTCTTTTGTAGCTGAGTTGGGCTAAACGTAAAAGCCCCTTGAATTCAAAAGTGTACATTTCTCCTATCCTCCCCCTTCTCCTCTCCTCACATGGCTTTACCCGTCTGGCCAATCTAGTAGGCCATTGCTGTGGTGAAGAAGGAACAGCCGGCAAACCAGACCACCTGATAATTAGGAGAGCAGTCCAAGGCCAGCCGGAGTGTGTTTGAAAGCCTGCTTGTGGGCATTGCCCATCTCCACTCCATCTGTGAATACAAGGACTTTGGACTGTTATAGGCGGGCGCTGTAGATCAAGGCTTCTGGATCAGGGCCTAGAAGATTGTTACAATTACAGTTTAAAACAATTTAAAGCTGTCATTTTAAATGTTGTGACTTTCTCTTCCTTCCAGATATTACAATTGTCTGCTCCTTCTTCTAAAAAAAAAAAAAACTGTAAAAGAACGTATTGTAAATTCCAAAATGTTATCTAAAATGTCAGCATGACCAAGAGACGTTGTGTCACATCAGGGGTCCCATATCAATAATTGTCAACGTAAATCTTGAGTCATGCTGAAACTGAATGTAGGCTTCAAACTCTGAGTGGGCGAAGGGCTATGAATTTTGGATTTAAGTACTAGAATGAATCTCTATTGCTTTGAGCGGGTATTTTGGGGGCAATGATGCCAACTAGTCTTCCAATAAACTGATTATAGAAATTAAACACTCACGGCCGGGCACAGTGGCTCACGCCTGTAATCCTAGCACTTTGGGAGGCAGAGGCAAGAGGATTGCCTGAACCCACGGGTTTGAGACCAGCTGGGCAACTTGGAAAGACCTCAGCTCTACAGTAATTCAAAAAATCAGCCAGGCGTGGTGGTACACGTCTATAGTTCCAGCTACGTGGGAGGCTGAGGCAGAAGAATCGCCTGAGCCCAGCAAGTCAAGGCTGCGGTGGCCATGAGCGTGCCACTGCACTCTAGCCTGTGTGTCAGAGTGAGATACCAACTCAAAAAAAAAAAAAAAAAATTAAACACTCCCTTTTCACCCTGTCTCTGCCTCCTCTTTTAATTGGCTGCAAGGGATAGCTGCCAGTTTATTGGATCAGGCTGTAACAAGCCCATTCCCAGATAACTAGGAAATGAATAGACACAAAAACTCAAGAATACACAAGTCACAGTATAAAAGGGTTTTATTCACTTTTCCCTCCTACAAAATTTTCCTGCAGTGTGGATGAAGCCTGTGTAAAACCAGTTGTTTAGAGCAGCAAGATTTATAACAGCACAACACTGGAAATCTAAACACCTGATATTCACGGACTGTTGATAAAATGAATTGTTAGGTTTTATTTTATTATTTATTTATTTTAAAGATGGGGTATAATTCAGGGTTAGGCATATTAGGCAGGTATTAAAAATACTGTTAACAAAAATCTGTTTGTCTTAAATTTTTATAAAGCCAAATGCAAAATTTATATACAGTATAACCTCAACTATGTTGAGATATATACTAGGGGTGCTAAAAAATTCAAACACATTTTAAGAGATGTTACCTATGTATTACTTACAGTTCTCCATAATCAGAAGTGTCTGGATGCTGATGGTAACCACTTTAAGCAGCTTTTTGTAATTGCAGACGTCAAACGTGACTAGTATTCATCTTTTGTTATTGATCTATATTGCTACAATTTTAATACAGTCTTTTCCTTTCTTAAGATGTGCATAAATTTTTTTGGCACCCAGGTATGTATCTCAACATAGTCGAGGTCAGTATATCCGAGGGGGGACCCAAAAAACCCAGAATTATCTTTTGTAGGGTGAGCCCCTTGTAGTACACTTGGAATTTGTTTTTCTGGATCAAATGGCCATCCAAAGTTTTTATCTGCAAGTTTTGAGAAGGTGATATCAAGATTTGCAGAAGGAATGCCACAAGTTGTGACAAACAGGTGACTGGTTCTTTCACCATGACCATGTATCTGCCCACACTGCACTGAGTGTTCAGCAGTTTTGACCCCAAATGGCAATGACCCACATGCCCATCCTCCCTGTTCACCTGAGCTTGCCCTGAGTGACTTTTTTTTTGCTTCCCCAGATGAAAATCCTCAAAGGGAAACGTGGAAGTGGTGAACAAAAAATGGCCGAAGCACCAAAAGACATCAAAATTGATGAGTTCAAAAACTCTTTTAAGCCGTGGAAAAAGCATCCTGATAGATGTATTGCATTGAGCGGAGAGTACTTTGAAGGTGCCTGAAGTTTTAAAATAAATTCTGGGTTTTTTTTGGGGGGGGGATCCTTTCCCAAACTCTGCCCATAAATTTCCAGATCTCTCAACATCTTTGAACTCTTATCTCTGTCTCCTCAACATGATGAGGTTCCCAAACAATGGGTTTACCTTTCTGTGCCTAGGAATTGGAAACTGCCTCCAGGCAGAATATTGGGAGCAATCACAGCTTAATGGTTTCCTTTTTTTCCAGGTATCACTTCACTGGGCTGTTTTCCAATGTGTGAAATTATCATTTTATGTCTTTTGTCCAGTTTTCCAGCTGTCTGTGGCAGGAAGTTAAGTCCAGTCCTTGTTATTCTATCACGGCCAGAAGTGGAACCTTGGGTAACCTTGGAGAGAGGATAATAGGAAATAGTCATCTAGGAGAGTAGAAGAGTAGGCTTACATTTCAGTAATTTTCAGTATTACTGGGAAGTAATTAATGCTCATATCAGTGTTAGGATTATGGGCTTTAAGTGAAAGCATTCTGCCAAGTTAAGTGATTTTCTTCAGAAATTGACAGCTCAGGAGCAGCATGGGAAGAATAGATGGTTGGCCTGGTCTGGAACTGGGGTATTGCCAGACTGTAATCATGCTAGACGAGGGAATTTAAATCAAAACAGATCAACAAAAGCAATTTAGCAGTTTTTAAAACACTGTAACGATCTAAGCTAAATTTTTCAATTACTAACAAAGCTATATAATTGACATTGGAAGAGTACTTTAGAGTTTACAAATCTATTTCACAGGGAGATAATTCTTCTGTTCC